TTCAGAAAATCCTAGGGCCCTAAAGAATTTTGATAAATCTCTGATTGTACCCTATAAATAAAACAACAAATCCTGGATGAAAACACATCTGTTTATAGCATGATTTGCTGAATAATTTGAACCCACTGTTGAGACCTACTGCTCAGAAAAACAAACAAGCAAAAATGATTCCCATCAAATAATTACTGCTCATTGACCATGTACCTGGTCACCCAAGAGCTTGAATAGAGATGTATAAGGAGATTAATGTTTTTATGGCCACTAACACAACATCCATTCTGTAGTCCATGGATTGAGGAGTCATTTTGACTTTCAACAGTTATTATTCAAGAAATACATTTCATAAGGCTATAGCTTCCATAGATAGTGATTTCTCTGATGGACCTTGGAAAAGTATATCAAAAACCATCTGGAAAGGATCCACCATTCTAGAAGCCATTAAGAACATGTGTGTTTCATGGGAGGAAGTCAAAATATCAACATTAACAGGATTTTGGAAAAGGTTGATTCCGACCCTCAGGGATGACTTCAAGACTTCAGTGAAGAAAGTGACTGCAGATTCAGTGAAAATGGAAAGAGAGCTAGAATTGAAGTGGAGCTTGATGATGTGGTTGAATTGGTGCAATCTCATGATAGAACTTGAATAGATGAGAAATTTTTTTTTATGGATGAGCAAAGAAAGATGTTTCTTGAGATGGAATCTACTTCAGGTGAAGATGCCATGAACATTGTTGAAATGACAACAAAGGATTTAGAATATAACATAAACCTAGTTGAGAAAGCAGCAGCAGGATTTGAGAGGATTGACTCCAATTTTGAAAGAAGTTCTACTGTGTGTGGTGCTATCAAACACCATCACATGCTACAGAGAAATCTTCCCTGAAAAAAAGAATCAATCAATGCAGCAATTTCCTTGTTGTCTTATCTTAATAAATTGCCACTGAGCTCGATGGCTCACTCCTGTAATCTCAGCTATTTGGGAGGCTGAAGCAGAAGATTGCTTGAGGCCAGGAGTTCAAGACCAGCCTGGGCAAATGTCAAGACCTCCACCTCTTAAGAAAAAACATGGGAATTTTTTTTTCATTTATTTTATATTTCATTTTATTTTTCATAGTAATCCCAGGGTATACCCCAAAGACCTCATTTTAACTTAATCGTGTCTTTAAAGGCCCTATCTCCAAATACAGTCATATTTTCAGGCACTGGGTGTTAGTACTTCAACATATAAATTTATGGGGCTGGAAGGCACAGTTTAACCTGTAACAGGCATGTTTGAGTGAGGATGGGCTCTAGTAGCAAAATTCCACTCCCTTTCACGTCCCATCGAGTATTTGGAGACATGTTTTTTTTTTAATTTTTAATTATTAGGTGTACATAATAGTTGCATATCTTTCTAGAGTACATGTGATGTTTTGATACCAGCATACAATGTAAATTAATCAAATGAAGGTAATTGGGGTATCCATCGTCTCAGGCATTTATCATTTCTTTGTTAGGAACATTCTGTTTCCACTCTTTTAGTTATTTTAAAGTATACGCTTATTGTTGATTATAGTCATTTTGTTGTGTTATCAAATATTATCATTCTATCTAGCAATTACTGTACTTTTGCCCAATTAATCCTCCCCACATTGTCACTCCCTTCCTATTATCCTTTCCAGGTTCTGGCAACCATCATTCTACTCTTTGTCACCATGAGATCAATTGTTTTTAATATTTAGCTCCCACAAATGAGTGAGAACATGTGAGATTTGTCTTTCTGTGCTTGGCTTATTTCACTTAAGATTATGTTCTCCAGTTCCATCCATGTTGTTGCAAATGGCAGAGTTTCATTCTTTTTTGTGGCTGTATAATATTGCACTGTGTATATGTAACCACAATTTCTTTATCCATTCATCCATTGATGGACACTTAGGTTGATTCCAAATTTTGGCTATTGTGAGTAGTGTTGCAATAAACATGGGAGTGCAGTTATCTTTTTGATATACTGGTTTCCTCTCTTTTGGATATATACCCAACATTGGGATTGCTGGGTCATATGGTAGTTCTATTTTCAGCTTTTTGAGGAACCTCCATACTGTTCTCCACAAAGGCTGTGCTAATTTACATTCCCACCAACAGTGCATAGGGTTCCAATTTCTCTGCATTCTTGCCAACATTTGTTATTTTTTGTTTTTTTTAATAGCCATTGTAATGGATGTGAAGTGACATGTCATTGTGGTTTGATTTGTGTTTCCATAATGATTAGTGATGTTGAGTATCTCTTCATATGTTTGTTGACCATTTGTATATTATCTTTGGAGAAATGTTTGTTTAAGTCCTTTGCCCATTTTTAAAGCGAGTTATCTGTTTTTGTTTTTGTTGTTGTTGGATTGTAGAAATTCTTTATGTATTCTGGATATTAACCCCTTATCAGATATATTATTTGCAAATATTTTCTCCCATTCTGTATGTTGCTTTTTTACTTCACAGAAGTTTGATGTAGTCACACATCTATTTTTGCTTTGGTTGCCTGTGCTTGCATGTCACATCCAAGAAATCATTGCTAAGAACAATGTCATAAAGCTTTTCCTTTATGTTTTCTTCTGGGAGTTTTATAGTTTGTGGTCTTATATTTAGTTTTTTAATCCATTTTAAGTTACTTTTGGTATGTGGTATAAGATCAAAGTCCATCTTCAGCCTTTTGCATGTGAATATCCAGTTTTCCCAACACTGTTTGTTGAAAATACTGTCTTTTCCCCATTGAGTGGTCTTTACCCCTTTGTGTGAAGGTGTGAATTCAATCATATGCGGGAGAACTTGTTTGTGGGCTTTCTATTCTATTCCATTGTTTATATGTCTGTCTTTATGCCAGTACCACACTGTTTTGATTACTGTAGATTTGTAATATGAAATCAGGAATTGTGAGGCCTCCAACTTTGTTCTTCCTTTTCTAGATTGTTTTGACTCTTAGAGGTGCCATGAGATTCCATATGAATTTTAGGATAGACTTTTCTATTTCTGCAAATATATCATTGGGATTTTGATAGGGATTGCCTTGAATCTGTATATTCCTTTAGGTAATATAAGCATCTTAACAAGATTAAATCCTTAGTAACTTCAGAGAGAGTGACAGAGAAAAGGGGAGGGAGAGAGGACTCAAAGATAGCTACTATCTGCTAAAATTTATCTTCCTATTGCCACAACATAGGATGGTTCCTTGCAGATGTGAGGGTGACCAGCTGTCACCCCACTGGTCACCAGGGTTGATTCAGCTGATCTGGCTGGCTAGGCGGGTGTCCCCTTCCTCCCTCACCATTCCATGTGTGCCCCTCCTGAGGCTGCACGCTCGGTGGAAGAGGATGACCTTCCCTGATAGAGGAGGACCGTTCTTCAGTCAAGGATATACAAGAAGCAGTGCTCGCCTGCTAGAAGCTCCAAACAAGCTCTCAAGGTTCCGGGGAAGTAGGTACCCAATGTGACTGTTCCCAGCCACTTGTGTCCAGGTGGGACATGTGGCTAGTTCTCATCAATAGAATCTGAGAGGAAGTGATGTGTGTCACTTCCAGGAAAATTATTCAGGTGGTCCTTCCACCTCCTCTGCCTTTGTCTGCCCTCTCAGTGCAGAGGACTCTAAGGAAGGCTCTTGGGTCTCTCTGACCACACTTCCCAAGCAGGAATACCCACCTAGATCCACAACATAAGTGAGAAACAGATTTATTAAGGCATGAAATTTTGGAGTTTATAGAGCAGCTGGCACTATCTTAACTAATTCAAACTACTAATAAGAGGTGGAACTAGGATTTGGATCCATGAAAGCTTATTTGAGAGACTATGGTCTTGATTAAAATAATAATGTGAAACATGAACCTTTATCTCTGAAGCTTGCATCATTCATCACTGAGCCAGTGTCTCTCAAAAGGCCACTCCCACAAGGATTACCTGAGGTGCCTGCAGACATAGGACCTCACCCCAGATTTTTCTGAATTAAAATCTTCAGTATCTGTGACAAAAATCTGCATTGTTAACAATCTCCCCAAGAGAACCTGGTGTATGCTAAACATTGAGAAACTTTTCTCTAAACTATGCCGTCTCCTTTCTAGTAGTGTCTTACACAGAATAGGGGATCCAACAGCATTTGTGTATGAGTCGTTGAACAAAAATGTGAGCCAATAGGGCATTTGTTTGGAAAGGAACTCCAGACTTTCCATACCTTCTGGATTCTAAATTTAGTGCTGTTTCCTTAAACCCCATTGGACAGTGCGCCGCTCAGGATTCTTTTTGGAGTTAGGAAGGCATTAAACCATTGTCAGAAACGACCCTCTACTGTTCTTGATTCTGCAGGCTCACTTTCAAGCTGCCAGGACTCAGACCCCATGCCTGGTGGACTTATTGTCCAGCCAGCCCACGGAGCAGGTAATTAGTCCGAAACTCAGCGCAGCTGTGCAGGTCAAACTCCCCTACCGTCACAAGGGACGGTTTGTTCCCAACAATCTCTTTCATCAAGGACCTGGAATCCTCCCCCACATACAGCCTCAGTCCTGAGAAGAGGGGGAAAAAAAATCTTTAAAAGTATTTTTTAATAAAAGTCCACTATAACCTTGATTTTTGTTGCAGCATTCTACAAGGGCTGATAACTGCTGGGATCCTACAAGCAACGGTGAATTTGATTCAATCCTGAATTCCACGGCAGAGGGCTCTGGGGAGAACTACTAACCTGCCTTAATGGAAGAGGACAAAGAAAGGCCACCTTTGGATTTGTGAGGTCACGCACAGCTCAGGCAGCATGAAATTTACCGCGTTTGCTGCTGGCTCGAGCCATTTTCTCCAAATGGCCATCTCTCCCAGGAGAGATATTATGCTAATATTGTTAGAAGCTCAGAGGTTAGGTTATAAAACAGTACACGTTTGCTGTTTTGTCAACTTTGGGTATGGTTTTGTTTTAGCAGCTGTTTAAAATGAGAGGGAAAAAAATCACGGGAGAACAAAGAAGCATGGAATTAGAAGACTAAATAAAGGAAAGCAAGGAAAGTAGAGAGGCAGCGTGGAAGAAAAAGAGCAGAGTAAATACAGAGAGGAACAAAAGAACTGGGTAGAGTGAAAGGGAAAGAAAGTTTAGGTCCTGCCTCCTACCTTTTTCATTTGAAGAAAGCTTGGGCATAAGCTTGTCACTTTCCTGACCCATAAAAATTGTCAGTGACCTTGTTTCTTCTTTCCTCTGAGCCTGAAACAGGCATTGAGGGATAATCTCAGAAAGTTTTAAATTGCCTGAGCACAGCGCCGAGGCCGTCCGTAGACAACTGGGAGTCTGGCGCTGCTCAGCAGAGGATGCAGACACGGAAAGAGAATCAATCTCTGGATCTTGTACCTGTCGTCGGCCCATGCTGGCTCCCTCCTCCCTCTCCTGCCATCCCCTGGAAAAGCTTTCAGCTGAATCCTTCATGCTCACTCTCTTGGATAAACAGCTGCATGCAATCCCTTGCTATTTAGGGGACAGAGATTTGGCTTTGCATGCATGGTTAGAGGAAGGATTCAGGGCTCTGGGCTCTGATCTCCCCCATTCTCCCCTCTCTCACTCCCACAGGAAGGAGGTTCCGAGAAACTAGAAGGTCAGGGAGGACTTCCGCAGGCCCTCTGGGTTCCCACGCTCCCCCACACTCTCCTCATCACACACCTGCAGGCAGAAGGATAGGGCACCTTCCTAGCATTAAGAAACTTATTAAAATTACAAAGTATATCTATCTTCAACTTAATACCTTGCCCTTGTTACAAAGAGAGAGGGAAAAACATGAAGGAATTCATTGAAAGGCTGTTTCCACATACAGTTTGGATCCACGTATTGTGCTGTTTACATCTCCAGCAAGGTCCATTACAAACATCTGGGGGGAATGGACACGTGGTCTTCCCACGTTTCTGCTCTCTCTCCCCTGCCAGTCTTGGTACTCTTCTGCAAGGGGCCCCTGCCGAGGGAAGATCGGGAGATAGTATTGAAGCCAAAATTTGGCTTCTTCTTTATATTAAAAAGATTGAAATGATTGAAAGATGAATATTCATTTTCCCTGTCACTATTTTGGAAGAAAAATATCAAGGAAATGTTGACTCATCAGAGGAAGTTTGCATTTACTTCAATAGTGGAGAGACTAATGCATACTTTTGGTTGATAGGGAGCCCAAAGAGATTCTAAGAAGGGTGAGGACTCTGGTGTCCTTATTACTGTCTTGTAAATATCCCCTTCCCTCTTGAAACTTTTAGTGAAGCTGTCAGTGCTCACAAATGATCAGTGGAGTTGGCTTTTATTTGGCAGGTGGAAGCAATTTGGTGGAGGCTTCAGGAAGAGTTGAGTTTCATGTCTGGGTCGGCCCAGTGCCCAGGAGAAAGGCAGCCCACAACCAGTCAGTATCCAGGAAGTAGAGGAGGGCATGGAAAGGGAAGATTCCGGGAATTTGCAGGAATATAGGAAAAGGGTTTCAGACTTTCAGACGCCATGGATTGGAGAGTGGCGTGAGCCAATTATGAGTCAGTCTTTCAGGGTAAGGAGATGCCCATCTGATAGTCTCTCAATTTGTCTCACGCAATTCTGCTGGCTTTTTGTTATTTTTTCTCCTTTCTCCCTCTGTTTTCCTTCTAACCCTGATAGGAGCAGAAAAACAAGAAGGAGGAAATAGTTTAGAAAAACAAAAAGGAAGAGTGGTTACAGAAAAATAAGAAAAAGAACAGTTATTTCAGTCTTAAAGAATGGGGTAATTAGGCCATGGAACACTGACCACTAACCAGGGAATGGAAAAACACTATAATCAGTTACTGGAACATAACCTTTAAGTCGTGTCATACCTGGAAAGAATTCAGTCCCCAAAGCAGTGACATAAGGTTATGAATAGCTATAACTAACCTTTACATCAACATAAACTGCTAGTATATAAAAAGAAAAACATAGAAATAGGCAGAATCTTCTCCGCTCACAGAGACAAACCCATCCCCCATAGGAAACCTCTTTGCTTTCCTCTCCTATACTATCGTACAATAAAGCTGCTTAAATAGATATACTCGGCGTCTGCTCTTTCCTCTCCATTGCAGCAGCCCTGGCTTGAGATTCCTCCAAGCTAGGAGCCGAAGAACCAGGGGAAAAAAAAACTCATCATTAGAAATCCACCCTGACATTTCTGGAACATTAAAATATAATTTCTCTCCATTTCCACTGAAGCCTTGGTTCCAGCCAGCACATGAGATGAGTGGCAAGGGAAGGACTTGCTAAGGAATCATTTCAAACATCACACTTCAAATATATTTAAGGAAAAACAGGGCCGGGCGCTGTGGCTCACACCTGTGATCCTAGCACTCTGGGAGGCCAAGGTGGGAGGATCACTTGAGCCGAGGAGTTGGAGGTTGCTGTGAGCTAGGCTAACCCTAAGGCACTCTAGCCCAGGTGAAGGAGAGAGACTCTGCCTCCCCCACCCCCCAAAAAAAGAAGAAAACCAAAAAGGACAGAGCAGTTGGTGATCATTACTAATCATGCAGAAAGAGTTGACCTGGGACCTTCTGGGACCCCAGGGTGCTGCATCTGGGTGCTGTCAACAGGGGCCACTGGGGTTAGGGGTGAGGGGGCCCAGGAGGAGGGTTACCAGCATGAGCCTGGGGTCCGCACTGCTGAGAAAGAAGAACCTTGGAGGACAGCATTTACCCCCCACTCCTCATGTTTCCATGTTGAAACCACCCCTCCCACGGGTATGCCTCCCCTTGTTTCGCCTGTTGCTTACATAGAAAGGCAACAGGAACCAGGGGCTGGTCCTCACCTGCAAGGGGCCGGGTCTCTTCTGCAAGGAGGACCAGCCTCTACTCTGTCTGTGGAGTAGACTTTCTAACTTTCTATAGTTTCTGGATAAATCTCACTTTCACTTTATTTTGTTGGCTCGCTCCTGAATTCTTTCTTGCACGAAGCCAAGGACCCACTTAGACTTCAAGTGGCTCCTCGCATTGGGAGTCGCTTTCCTGCATCAGAAGGACTTCCATTTGAGTGATGTTCCTGGCCTTCTTCCCCCCAGGAGGCAACGTGACTTAAGCCCTCCCTGTCTTATGTATGTGGGATCTGCTCACCGGCATGCCTTGCTTCACCTGCTCTTTGCCATCTTGTACAGGGCCTGCCCTGCTGGGGAGCACTGTGAGCAGGAGGAAGCTGCAGCAGTGTCTGGAGGAACACACACGTCGTATTCAGGGTTAATTAGCAAGGCCACTTTACAGGAGGCAGAGCCACTGCACTTCTGCCTCATCAGTAGTAATGGTGACATTTTGATCTCGATCTGCCGGACTCCCGATCTGCCCATCTCTCAGGTGGGGAAAGACTGTTATTTGCTCACTTCCTAAAACCTCAAAATCAATCAAAGGGGCAAGGCAGAGCCTTGAGCAGAAAAGGGGACAAGAATTTAGTGACAGGCAAAATCCAGACAAGAAGGAACAAAATGCCCAGTGTGGCGCCGCTTGGGCATTTCAGCAATTGGCCTGTGCATTTGCCAAAGGTGCCCCTTCACCAAGATACCTTACTTCCATCTACTGGAAAATGGTTATATTAACAACATGCTTATTGGGATAGAACCCCAGAGTTTACTGTCATGTGCCTGGAATCCGCACAATTCTGGTGCAAATCTGCAATGCCCAGGATGAGAAGGATGCCCTCCTTGGTTGTGTGGTATCCAGTCTGTCCTACAGTAAGTCAGATGAGATCTTACACCTTAATAGGGCAAAAGGGACACCCATATGCCAAGTTTCTTCTTCCCTCCTTCAGTGGAATCAGCCTTCATGCGATTCAGCCCTTCCAGGGCCACCTACTGGGTCAGCCTTGCCCTGTCTGTGACTCAGTTCAGACTCAAGAAACCATACTTGTTATATCTATCTAAAAATGTCCAGGTCCCACTTGGACTAGCTCTAACATCATATTACTTTGGGTCTGGTACCAGACACGTCTCGGAGCTATGAAGCACCTGGCTCTGCAGCACCCGATCCCAAAACATCTCCCAGACTCTCCCGCAGCCCTGCCATTGGGCGGCACCCTGTACACCCACCACCACGACAACGCCGCCCGCCTCCGCAACAGCCCAGAACAGTGGGAGGCCATAAAAACTGCCCGAAAAGTTATTGAATGAATGAATGCCCCATATGTATAAACAGCACAGCTTCTTCCCTGAATCAAATTTTCCTAAAATACATTCCATTCATTCATACATGACCTTCATGATTTTTTTCTGCAACTGGATTTATTCTTCAGTACTGTTATCTTCCTGGTAATCTTTAAATTGACTCACTTTTTTCCTTAAATATTTTGAGTAAAAAGCCTAATTGAAAGGGAAGCTTTATATTGCAAATGAAAACCAGTATGTTTCTACTGTAGTAAGATGTTCAGTCCGTGAACCACTGAAAACCACGTCATGCATTACCCGTTGTGCACATAGCACAATTCAGAAAGCATTGTCCTAGGTCCTGGGTCTTCTATGACCTGAACCGAGATCCAACATGCTCCCTGGTGCCAGCTGAAAATAAGACATCTGATCCCAACCTATGGGCCTTGTCAAAGGCAATACAGAATGTGACTCTTGCTAGCAACAGGACAGAGAGAGCTGGTGTGTGGACGAACCAGGAGAGGTAGCCACAGGCTCTCGGGCTGTCAGCCCTGTTCAAAAGAAGACAGAGGCAGGCCTGCCAGCCAGAGGAAATGAATCAGAACCATTATTCAAAGTTATTTGGTTGGAGGGGAAGAGGGAAGAGAGATTTTTTCCTTTCTTGCAGGAAATGCTTAGATGAGCGTGGACCGTGCTGGGTAGGCAAGTGCCTGTCATGTCCCTGGCTGGAAACCCAGGTAATTCCATACTCCACATTTCCTGATGAAGGTCCCTCTGGCCTGGGCTGTCAGGGGTGTCAAATGGCTCGTTGAGAAGCTTCTGCTCAGTGTCTCAACAGAAGACACTGCTTTCCCACATCCTGGTTGTCAGGGAACAGATGTCCCTGGGTGGTGTGTCCCTGGACATGATAGAGACCAACCAGGAGAGGCGTCCCCACCCTGTCCTGGCTGCTCCAGGTCTGGTAGCAGAGCTGCAGGAAGCTGCCATCCTCTTGATCCTAGTTCTGGGTTTCACAGAAGTGCCTTAGTTCACAAAGTACCAAAAAATAAGGGGAAGGTCCTAAAGAATGTCTAGTGGTTAAAAATAAATAATAATAAAGGGGAATACAATGATCAATGACTGAGCAACTGCAATGTGCTGGGCACTGAGCCCACTGCTTTCAGGATAAGCACTGGATGCCATCTTTTACAACATTCCTGAGTAAGTCTGCATTTTTAAATAATCAAATAATATAAGCATGCATCCTGCAGCTGGCTAGAAGATTAAAATATTTTCTAGGCATTTCTGAGAATTCCCAAAGATTTCTTTATGTTCCAAAATGTCCATTTATTGTCTGTTACCCCTTCTCTTGGGCTGCTTCTCTGAGCTTAAGTCCATTCACAATGGTTGCCTCAAAATCATGTCCCCACATGGCCACTAGCCTCTCGGGGCCACTCTGCATATTGCCACCCCTAGCTCTCCACCAGAGTAGACACGAGATCCTCCTTGAAGCCCCAGTACACAGCTAACACAAGATCTTCATGCTGGATATATTTTACTAAAGTGTGAGAATAAAATGAGGACACTACACTGCAGCTGGATGTCAGGTATCATTACTTCTAAGACACACCTGCCTTGTCCCTTCCCAGGAGGCTCCTTCTGTCCCTACAACCTGTAGCTGCTGACCTCAGGCCATGATGTGGGAGCTCATGCATCTACCCAGACAAGGATCCTCTTTAAAGTCCTACCACTACAATTCAAGCCACTTCTCATTCTCTGGGCCTCACAAGAGGACCCCCCCAAAAATAAAACGTTGGTGAAAACATCTCACTGGTGAGGCACCTATCCATGATGAAGACAGCCTTTAAATCATGAGACAGAAGGTTTGAGTGTCTGGTCTAAAGCATGTGCATTTGAAACTTATCAATCATCTTTACCTCTGAGTGACAACATCATTTATTTATTTAGCAAATCCTTATGTAACACATACGTAGTGCCAGACACCATCTAGCTTATTTAATACTTATAACAATTTTATGAGATAATATCTACTTTCATCCCCATTTGACAGGTGAGGACACTGAGGCACAAAGAGCTTTGCCTAAAGTCACACAGCCAGCAAGTAACAGAGTAAGATTTAACCAAGATCATTTGTTTCTGCAGTCAGAGCCCATAACTACTAGACTGCACTAGCCCAGAGCACAGAGGAAGAGTCAGTCCCAAGGACAAGCCCAGGCTTAAATGATGGGGCCTTAGAGAAGAAATGCTGCCAGATGTATCCCCTCTTCCCATCATTAAGTGTTCAGAAATATCCCCTCCTCCAATTACATTATCTAAATTAGTATCCAAATGGGGAAAGAAGATGTCAAACTCTCTTTGCCAATGATATGATTTTATATCAAGAAAACCCCAAGGACTCTGCAAAGAGACTCCTTCAAGTGGTAAATAAATTCAGCAAAGTCTTGGGTTACAAAATCAATGTACACAAATCAGTAGCATTTCTATACACCAACAACAGTCAAGCTGAGAATCAAATCAAAGACTCAATACATTTCACAATAGCAACAAAGAAAATAAAGTACCTAGGAATATATTCAACCAAGGAGGTGAAAGACCTCTACAAGGACAACTATGAATCACTGAGGAAGGAAATCACAGAGGATGTAAATAACTGGAAAACCACATCATGCTCATGGATTGGCAGAATCAACCTTGTTAAAATGTCCATACTACCTAAAATGATTTGCAGATTCAGTGCAATCCCCATTAAAATACCAACATAATTTGTCACAGATATAGACAAAAAATAGTTCTATGATTTTTTTGGAACCAGAAAAGAACCCAAATAGCCAAATCAATCTTAAGCAAAAGGAACAAATCTGGAGGTTCACTCTATCAGACTTTAAGCTATACTACAAGGCTACAGTAATCAAAACAGCATTTTACTGGCACAAAAACAGAGACACGGTGCAATGGAAGAGAGCAGAGAACCCAAATATAAAACCATCCACATACAGCCATCTTCTATTTGACAAAGAAGACAACAATATACACTGGGGAAAATAATCCCTATTCAATAAATGGTGCTGGGAAAATTGGATAGCCACATCCAGAAGACTGAAACAGAATCCCTATCTCTCACCACCCATTAATATTAATTCAAGATGGATAACAGACTTAAACCTAAGACATGAAACCATAAGAATTCTAGAAGAAAATGTTGGAAAAACTCTTATAAATATCAGCCTAGGCAAAGAATTTATGAAAAAGACTCCAATGGCAATCACAGCAACAACAAAAATAAGTGACTGGGACTTGATTAAATTAAAAAGCTTCTGCATAGCCAAGGAAGCAATCAACAGAGTTAATAGACAACCTAAAGAATGGGAGAAAATATTTGCATGCTATGCATCCGATAAAGGGCTAATAACCAGAATCTACAAAGAACTCAAGCAAATCAGCAAGAAAAAGTCAAACAACCCCATGAAAAAGTGGGCAAAAGACATGAACAGAAGCTTTTCGAAAGAAGATAGACAAATGGACAATAAACATATGAAAATATGGCCAATGTCACTAAGCATCAGGGAAATGCAAGTCAAAACCAAAATGAGATATCACCTAACCCTAGTGAGAATGGCTTTTATCAAAAAGTCCCCAGACAGTAGATGCTGGCATGGATGGATAGAGAAACGAACACTTAGACGCTGTTGGTGGGACTGCAAACTAATATATTTCTGTGAAAAGTAGTATGGAGATTCCTCAAAGAACTAAAATTAGAACTACCATTTGATCCAGCAATTCCACTGCTGGATATTTACCCAAATGAAAAAAAGTCATTTTATCAAAAAGACACCTGCACTTGAATGTTTATTAAAGCCCAATTCATAATTACAAAGATGTGGAATTAACCCAAGTGCCCATTAATTCATGAGTGCATTAATAAAATGTGGTATATGTATATAATGTAGTACTACTTAGCCATAAAAATGAATTAATACCTTTTAGAACAAATCTAGATAGAACTGAAGACCATTATCCTAAATGAAATATCATAAGAATGGAAAAACAAATACCACATGTACTCACTATTAAATTGGAACTAACCAAACAGCACTCATATGTACAATAAGAAGTAAAACTCAACGGAAATCAAATAGAGGGGAGGGGGGAAGAAGGAGATGGGTGAAATCATACCTAATGAGTACAGTGCACACTATCTGGAAGGTGGGCACACTTACAACTTTGTCTTAAGCAATACAAATGCAATCCATGTAACCAAAACAGATGTACCCTGTAATATTCTCAAATAATTTTTTTAAATAGTTAAGTCCAAGGCTAAGATAATAGGTTTTTCACATTTAAGAAAGCTATGTGGAATGTAGGAGAGTTCCTAGTACACAGATTGTCTCCCACATGGCAATATGTCTAACATCCTTGGCCTATGCCAACTCATTGCCAATAGGATCCCAATACCATTGTGACAACAAAAATGTCCCTCCTTCCATACACAAAATGGGCTCTAGGGGCAGCATCATCCAGATTGAAAACAACTGGCTTAGATTAATTGGGCTGGCCTCTTGGTACTTCAAACAAAATTGAAGTTTGATTAGTAAGGAAAAGGAGGAATGGATATCGAATAGATAACCAACAGTATCTACTAATAGTAGAAACTGGGTCTTACTTACGTTTGTATCTTCTTCCAAATGCTTGCAGAGTTCCTGGCATATAGTAAATTCTCAATAAGCTTTCTTGAATGACTGAATGAATAATTGCAGGGTAAGCTGTGGGAAATAGAAGCCAGTATTATTTGAGCTTTGACTGTAATAAAGGCAAAAATCTTCCTTAAAATAGTTAAAGGGCTAACTACCATAAATCCAGGAATGCTATCAGAAGTAGGGAAGTAAACTTTGATGTGCCAGTGTCTGTCTAGCATTTCTGGTCTTTATATCTGCTACACTCCCTAGACTGAAGACTAAGAGTTAAACTTACAACATTGAATCCTGTTCAGCAATCAGGAGAAATATCTAAGTTTTCATGTGAGTAGTATATTGTCTTTAGAAGAAAAAGTAACTGATACAATAAAAGATCAATTAAAAAAATAACTCCCCCAGTTTTTCTCTCCACTGTTCTCTCTACAAATGGGGAAACTGAGGCATGGGAAGCAGTGAAGCTTAAATTTGATCCCATACTTGTCTGACTCTAAAAAAAAATCTTTCTACTCTTCAGTGCACTGTGTCTACAGGGTGCTGCCAAAGATAAGTTTAAATTTTGCTTTATTTTAAATATTTTATCTGTAGTTCTAAGAATTGAAAATTTCAGAATAAGTAAAGTTGTATTTAAAAGGAAAACTTCCCACAATGATCAGCTGCATAAATAGTACACTTGGGGCCATGTATAAAAGAAAATAACAATTTTTCACAGTTCTAATTGAAAATGTAAACCTTTGGGCTGGGTGCATTCTTATGCAGCTTCCTTGCTGTAATTCCTGAAGTTTCCTGCTTCTAGGTTCTCTTGCCCATCCCCATCCATCATCCATTTGCTCAGTCAGCAAGGATCTCTTCTAAATGCGTTCTTCTCCTTCATGGATCGTGATGACGATGATGATAGTAATGGTAAAAACGTCAACATATTCCTATTCCCTCCCTTCAACAGATATTTAAGTGCTCACTTAAATGAGCATAGGGCTCCACCACCAGATGACTAATTTTACTACTGTGTGGCCATTGGCAAGTTATGTAATCTCTCTGTGCCTCAGTTCTTTGCTGTGAAAATAAAATGGAATTATGTACGTGAATTATTTAGAGCAGTGCCTGGCACATACATAAGAGCTCAATAAATGTTAATTGTTATAGTTGTTATTATTATTTGCCAACCATAACAATGGGTACCAGTGATGCAGATCAAAGATAAATATAGCATAGATGTAATTCAAATTAAATTATTATAACTGAAACAGAGTGCATCCTTAACATGACTGCTATGTTGTTAAGCAAACATATGGGAGTAAAGATTTACCCAGCACAATTATTGTGGTTCTTGACTAGTGTCTCAAAATCAGAGTGATGCTATGGAAACTACTCTGCAGTTAACCTTGCAAATTCTTTCAACATTGACTCTATCTGAAAATTGAATATCCATGATACTGGATGAGGGCAATCTCTGACAATATGTCAGGCTGAGTTCATGTTGTAGGGCTTCCTTAGTATTAATACCATAAATACTGGCTCAATTAAAGTCAGGAAAAAAATATAATACATAGTCTTTTAAACATATATCTTTCTCTGAGATACCAGCTTTGCCACTGGGCTTTATTATTGAGCTCACAAGTCAAAAAGAAAGAAGAAGTATCTAAGTGCTGGAAACAAAATGGGAAATTAAGGCAAGAGCATTAAGTAAGAGATAATGCTGCAATGACCTATACAGGTCTTATGAAACAATGATGGGAATTTTTATACCCACACAATGGTAGGAGACTTGGCCTGGCGGTGGAGAAAAAGGGAGAGAGAGTGAGAGGAAATGAGTTAGAACAGAGCCCTTTGCATAAGACTGGGCCCCTCAAAGTGCTGTTCCATATGTGAAAATAAAATAAAATTTTATTGTTCAGCTCAGGGAAGCTTTTAACTTTCTTATCTAACTATGGGTAAGAAAATAAAGTCACCATAAGAAATAGAAATGCCAAGCCTAAAAGCATGCATGATAGATAATGTAAACTCACGTTATTGATATAATTCAGAAAAGCTCAAATAGGAAATAAAGGCAAAATCTATTTTGGAATTAGTGTGGCCACAAGAATCTTAGCAACTATACATTCAAAACCATATGTAAGGATATTTCCAGGATACACGGCCCTTCTGGAGAAGAAATAATAACATCTGAACATGAATTTCCATTTAAAATTATAAACTAAATAACAAATTATCATGAAGGAAATTCAGCAAATAATAAAGAGGAAGTTAGCACCTCACAAACTAGAAAAAAAAGAATTTGAAATATATAAAATAATACCTAACTTAATTAAAAAGACACAAAGCAGAAATCATAAAAGGAGTATAAAAGTAATATGCATATTTTTTAAAAATTAAATAATACTTTGGGATTAAAAAACAGACATTAAAACTTAAAACAGCATGGTGAATTTAAATAGATTAGATATAGCTGAAAAGAGAATCAGTAAACTGGAAGATAAACATAAGGAAATAAAGTAGAGTGTGTCACAGGAAAATACATCTTTGAAAATGCAGACACTAGAAGAAGATGCAAGGATACAGCTGATTGAAATTTTAGAAAGAAGGACTAAAAACATTCCAATGGGAGAGAACAGAAAGGCTGGAGGAGAGACCATATTTGAAGAGATAATGGCTGAGAATTTTTCTGAGTGAAAAAAAAAAAAAACATGGCTTGAAAAGGTACATCAAGTCCTGAAAAGAATAAATAAAAACCAGTGCATATCTTGACACATCATAGCAAACTTCTGAACACCAAACACAAAAATAAAACCTTAAAAGCAATGAGAGAAAAAAGATTACCATACAAAAGAATTGCCAATCGACTGACAGCAGAGTTTATAAACAACAATAGAGTCCAGAGAACTATGGAGTGATAGCTTCAAAGTTCTTAAGTAAAATAACCGCCATCCTAGAATTGGTGCCAGCTCTCCTATATTCAAGAGCAGTGGTGAAACACCACATTGGCGAGCATCCTAGAGTGATTAGGTCCAAGCCTTGCCTTCATTGAGCAGCAGATTAAAAGGGCCCTGAAAATTAGAGTGAAATCCAGTATTTATGGACCTAGAATTTCCATAAAGAAAATAAATGTCTTTTTCTTCCTAGAAAAAGAAAGGAAGCCCATGGCAGATAAGTTTGGACTGATTTTAGGTTCTTAACCTACTCCAACCTTTAAGAGCAAATCCCTTCTCAGAGACAGGCTGAGCTCATATCATGAATGGGTGGTCAGACTGGCGGTAGGGGCCATGGCGGAGGACACACATGGTTGTCTGCACTGGTCAGGAGAATTTTGAAATTGTCACAGATCTCTAAGAACTTACAAGACACTGAAGGAAATAGGTAAGTTCACAATCATTAAAAAGGGTGGATGTGCTCTAAAAGAGAGACCACCCAGAGCATTCATAGACACTTGTATGACCATCCACAAAGGAGGCATCTAATTCCTTGTTGTCTGTAGTTCAGTCTTAGATTGACATTCTAGACCTTTCACCATCATGTCCTGTCATAACTTCTCCAATATAATCTTTCACTGCTCCCAGAATTAACTCTCTCCTCAAAATCACTGGACTGCTCACTAATCTTTGAAAACAAGCAACATTTTAAGAACTACACATTAAATAAACATTTATTGTTTGTTGGCTGATTGGTTGACTGGTTCGATAAACAAAATTCCTTATCTCCTTATATCTTGGCATCTCAACTGGGCTAAGCCACTTTTGACAAACCACACCACCAGATTGTACATAACAACACAAATCCTCTCTATCATACAAGCCATAGGCCCTAACCTCCGGGCTGTGGCAACTTTGGTTAGAGCAGTATAGTATAATACAGAACAGGAGTTTAGACACAAACTTTGGAGCCAGGTTTCCTGAGTTCCAATTCTGATTCTACAACTAGCTCTGTAACCTTGGGTAAGATATTAAATTTCTTTGCACTCAATACCTAACTACAGAAATAAAATTATGATGTAGTTTATAGGGCACTTGTAAGAATTTAACACTATGTGTAAAATTGAAATGTTCTTGATATATAGCTCATGTTCAACATAAGTTAGCATGGATACTTTTATTTTTAATTAGCATTTAGATCACACAGAACAAGGAAGACATATCCACTATTTGACTTGTATGTTATTGCTGTCCAGCACTTTCATCACTTTACTGTTTGCTATTACAACTACAACCAATGCTGACACTACAACTATTGCTATTAGCACTGCTACTACAACCACACCACAAATTCTGCTGCCGCGCTCTCCTCACTACTAGAAACCATGTATGATGCAACATCCTCGTGCCAGACACTTGAAAATTATTCTCTCTAACCCTTACCACAACCCTGAGAAAATTGTATTTATGTGCCCATTTTACAGACGAGGAAGTTGTTACCTAAAACTCACTCACCATTCCCAGCCAGATAGCAGAAAGGTCGGGATTCCAACCAGGTTCCAAAGACCGTGTCTTTTCAGCTCACCAGGCTGCCTGTCTACCGAAACGTGTTTGAACACAATAGAACAGATTTTCACCGTTTTTACAGCTGTTTCTCTCAGTCTGCAGAACAGATTGCTCCCAGTGGCTGAGCCGGAAGATCAGTGCCAATTTGTCAACCCGCCCATGGCGTTTTAATGATTTATAAAAGGACAGGCCCATGGCTTTTTCTACACCCAGCAGATGCCTCTGTTCCAGGGACTGTAGCAGCATCAAAGTGGAGTGAACCCACTGACTGACACTGTTTCCCGCAAGTGACAAATCCATGCATGTCACCTGGGGACCCAGAGCAAGGATGAGCTCTGCCCCGCTCATCTGCCAGGAGAAAGGGAACAAAAAATGACTGAGATAAAGTCACCGTAAGGATGGAATCTGGCAAAGGATGGACTGGAGTTTAGCTTAAGATACATCCCTTCTTCCTTCCAGTGTTTGAAACCCTTGACCTTCAGCTCTCTCGCTTTGGCTCCGGCGTTCCAGCTGTTGGCCTGATTGTTTTGATGAAGCGCATCCCTAAATGATGGTCTCACGGGAGTCTAGGGGACAGAAATGCAAAGCAGTAAAGGGGAGAGGAAAGCCATGCAGCACAAAAGTCACGGATAAATGGGGCCTCCCCGCGAGGCAGGGTGACACGCAGGTGACACACGCAGCCATTTTGCAAGGTGCTTGACTTACGGACTCGTAAGCCTCTTAGAACTTGGTGATGGTGCTTTGAAATGATGGAGAAAAGTGAGAGAGGGACTCCTCCCCAAATATAGCCCACCCTTCCAAGAGCAGGGAGCAGAGCCTGTGCTCCTGTCTGCTGTGGTTTTTCTGTGGACCATTCATCGCCTGGGCTGGGGGATTCAGACATAGGCCGGAAACCTCTGCAGAGCTTTCAAGATACAGTGTGCTTTGAATTCTGAGTTATTACAGCTTATTCAGAATCTCCTTTTTCTAAGGGCTGCTAAACCTTATCAGGAGCTTGTTTTCTGAAGCAGGTCCACATCTCAGCGTACGGGGGAGCAAGGAGAAATTCCAGGTAGGCTCTAAGGAGAAAGACTAGGATGAGAGCATGGGAGTGGCAACTTCCAGGTACAGGACGTTGTCTAAGTTAGGTTGTCAGCAGCCTGTGTGATGGTGGTGGTAGCAATGATGATGATGATGATGACGATAATGACAATGACAGAATAATAGCAGCTACCACTTGCAGCACATTTGCTGTATGCCAAGCCTGTGCTAAGAATCTCCACCTGTGACAGGTGTCATATGTCTTCTCCTTCCTCTTGTCCTCCCTCCAGTCTCCGCCCCGTTCCTTCTTACTTGGCCTCCCCCATCCTTTGTCTTTGGTCTCAGGATTGAAAAGTCTAGGCTGTGGGGGGCCTCAGACCACGGAGAATGCATGATCAGGTTTGCTGAGTTCGAGGTATGGTTGGGAAGATGAGCGAAGAGTTTCCGGACCAGGGCAAGGGAAGGGGGGACACCGGGTTTAATGTTGTCAAGGGTCCCTAAGAAAAGGTCCCCATTAGTTTGACACCCTAAGAGATGACTGTATTAGCTTTTTAGGGCTGACATAACAACGTACCACAAACCAGGTGGCTGAAATAACAGAAATTTATTTATAGTCTCACAATTCTGGAAGCTAAAAGTCCAAGGTCAAGGTGTTGACAGGACTGTCTTCTTCTGAGGCTTCTCTCCTGGACTGTAAATGGCCGTCTCCTCCCTGCCTCTTCATCTTGTCTTTCTCCATTCAGATTGGTGAGGGCCTGTGTCACTCTGATTGCTGAATATTTTGAACATTATTTCTGCCCTGTAAGTCTGTATTACATTGCCTCCAATGGACCAAAATGTGGCGGCAGTGCCTTGGCCCTTGGAAACACGTTGCGTCACTCAGCATGGGTTGCAGGAACAGCCTCCACATCCAGCTCCTAGATAATTAATCTACAGAATCTTTCTTGTGCTTCAGGTCCAGCATGTGCCAGCAAGGGGTCTCTGCTCATCATAGTCGCTCAGGGTGCCAGTGAGTGAAGCCTCCATGACAATGTGTGCCCGCACAGTGAGGATGCTAGCAGAACACCCACTCCCAACGCTCCTTCTTCAAGGCAGTGACACACATCATGCCCACTTACCTTCCATTGGCTGATGTAAGTCACATGGTCACACCTCTCTTCCAAGGGGACAGTCCCACCCTGTGTCTGGAAGAAATGAGGTAGAAATGTATGAGGAAGAACATTAATGACTGCCTCACATGCCCGGCACTTCTTGACAACACAAAGAAGTCTGGGAACCCCAAATGGTCTGAGATTATGTTTCTGACACAGTGGACTTAGAATAAAAAAGCAAGTTCCAATAAAACTAAGTTAAATGTATTTTTTTAAAAAATCCTGTTTCCCAACTGGAATGTGTACATGCTACACATAAATTATTTCATCAAATAATTATAAAAACACTTTGAGATGAACATTTTGATTCCTATTTTACAGATGACAAAACTGAGCTAAGAAAAGTTAAATAACTTGAAGGAGAACTCAAATAAATGGTACTGCTAGGATTTGAAACCCAGTCTACTTGACTCCCTTGTAACTTTAAAATAGATGTTCTCATTTATTCACTCATTCAACATTTATCTATTGAGGGTCCATATATGTCCAACACTGCTAGACAGCTGCTAAAAGAACAGTAAACAGATGGACAAGGTCTCTCCTGCATGAAGCTTACATTTTAGGGGAAAGGGGAGGAGTTCTGGAATAAAAACCAAGTAAGCAAATATGTAAGCAAGAAAGTATCAGATAACAATAAATACTATGATGAAAAGAAAATGGGGTTATATGTAGAGTGGCCACAGTGGCTACTTTGAGGAGGTGGCATTTGCTCTCAGACCTAGATGACAAGAAGGAGCCACCCATGTGAATGCTTGAGACACCCATGTGAATTCATCTGGGCAAAAGGAGAGTTAGTTTCAAGGTCCCAAGGTTGGGACAAATTTGGTGCACTTAAGAAATGAAAGGATCTGTCATGTAGTTGCAAATGTCAGCTGGGGCTACGGTCCTAGGAAGGCTGCACTAGACCAAGACGTTCATTCACATGGCTGGCGACTGATGGTGGCTGTTATCCAGGAGCTGTCACTAGGAGGGGCTCCACCTGAGCCCCTCCACCCTACCTGTGGCTTTTCCGAGTGGCATAAACTTCTCACAGCAGGATGCTGGGTTCCAAGAGGAGCTGTCCAAGTCCAAACATGCCAAGAGCCAGAAAGCAGAAACTCACTTGAAATTAGCACAGAATCACTTCCACAATATTCTAGTGGTTGGAGCAATCACAGGGCCTGCCCAGATGATTCTTCTAGGTCGAATAGTGTCCCTCCAAATTTATATCCATCCCGAATTTCAGGATATGACTTTATTTTATAAAACGTTTGCAGATGTAATCATTTAATAGTTACATTAAGATGTGGTTACACTGGATCGGGATGGGTCCTCAATCCAGTGACTGGTATTCTTATCAGAGGAGATAAATGGACATAGACAGATGCAGGGAATCAGGCCACGTGATGATGGAAGCGGAGATCAGAGTGAGGCAAACGTAAGTCAAGCAATGCCAGGAACTGCCAGAGCCACAGAAGCTGGAGAGAGGCAGGGAACGGATCCTCCCCACCCCCGGAAGGGACCGCCCCTGCTGACACCTTGACTTCAGACTTCTGGCCTCCAGAACTGTGAGGGAATACATTTTTATTGTTTTGAGTCTCCTAATTTGTGGTAATTTATTATGACAGCCCCAGGAAACTAATACATGGGTAGAGAGAGAAACTCCACCTCCTGAGGAGAGTGTGTTAGTTCTGTGTCGCATCGCGGAACAATGGTGGGGCATGCTGTTGGGACCATCTTCGAAAAGACGACCTGCTGCAACTGTTTGCATCCAAAGGCGATAATAGCCTCAGTAGCTGGCACGTTGGCTTCTTTTTCTCTAGGAATTCATATGTTCTGTTTCTATTTATGACCCATACTCGTGTGTGTGTGTGTGTATGTGTGTGTGTGTGTGTGTGTGTGTGTGTGTGTGTGTACTCCTTGCTAAAGGCTCCCAATGTCTCCTTTGGAAAGTGTTGGACTGTGAACAAACCAACAGCATGTTCCCCTGGGTTAGTACCACAGCTTACACCTCAACCTGCAAGTTTCACTGTATTTTTCTGCCAGAATGAATTTCAAACATTTTCTCAGCAGGATGTAAACAGTGAGCTCAAGCTTTGGCAATTTCTGAGCTCCTGCTGTGGCTGAGATCAAGGAATCATAATTAATCACCGAGGTGTTGGTGATGCTGTTGCTTCTCCCACAAAGCACCGGGGCCAGTCCAGCCCAAAGCGACAAGGAGGCCACAGCAATCGAGCAGATGTGACAGCTACCCCAGGGTCTGAAAAGATGGAGTCTGTCCCGAGCATTGTAAAGAGATAGTCAGGCAAGTCTCCTGGGCCTTCTGAACATGTCTCAGGAAGATGTTCTCCAGCTGTTTAACAGGAAGCTGAGGTGTAAGGCTTGAAACTTAAAGAACAGTGAATCACTGGCATCTTGTTATCACGTTAGGTACCGGATGTGGACACACTTTGAAAATGTAGCAAATAGAAGACAGCAGAGACCATCATGGATGGTTAGAGTTGGACCATAATGGTCTTCTAGTCCAACTCTTACCATCCTTCCACCACATCCCGATGGAGATTACGCAGCTTGGCCTGACTCCCTCCACTGACGGGGAGCTCACTACCATATGAACATGTTAAGGATCCGGCCATCAGTGGTGAGGGAACTTCCCATCTGTTCAGCTAAGTTAGTGGCAAGAAGAGGAGGTGGGGATAAAGTCATCATGAGATATCAAACTCCCGTGCCTTTGCCATGCATGAATGTAAGAAGTAAACATACTGTACTCCCTGCATGGTGAGGAGCTCGAGTTGAGAATCCAAAAATAAAATTAGGCTAAGATGACTGGAAGTAGAGGGTTCAAGTGGAAACCAATGTAAAACTACCCTGAAGGGACATTTTCACAATACAGAGATCATAGTTCTCTCCTCCCAATCCAAAACAAACAAAAGAAGAAATGTAAATAAATCCTGCTAAAATTGACTTTACCAAATTACAAAATACATGAGGAAGTGAACTGTCATGAAATCATGTGACAGTAGAAGAATTACTCCCTCTGAAAAAAGCTAGAACTAACACAATAAGTCTAAAAGAGTTATATTTTAAAAAACAAAGTAATAAGAAATAAAAGTAAAAAATAAAATAAATGAGACAATAAAAAAAAAACCAAGCTGCTTAGAGTTTTGTCTTAAAAGCAGCAACAAATATAACTTCAAGAAAATAAAAACACAGTGATCAAAATTAAAATCTCAGTGGTTAGGTTAAAATCAAA